AATTTGAGACTCCTCTCAAGGAGGAGAAGGAAAAAGTACTAAGATACTAAGAAAAAGTTTCAAGTTATATAGCCTATAGAAATCTATTTCCTTCTGGCAGGGTTCACATGTGTTGAGGCACAATGAGATTTGTTTAATTTCAGTTAGCACAATCAACAAACCTATACAACTGTGGCTTATACAAATAATTTCCTACTGTAATATGAATCTAGTGTGAATTCAAAACCATTGATCCACCAGGTTTAGTATTTTCTGCTTTGATTAGCAGCAGCTCTTCCTTTATTTTTATTTAGACTCTTTTAAATAGTGATGTCAAGAATAGAACCTAAAATTTCTACATACGGTGTATATGCTTTAGCATTAATTTATAACAACATTTCTTTCCAATTGTTTCATGCTCTTTAACAAGATCTCATTGTTTCTTTCCTCTTGTCTGAGATTTATTGCAGAATGCTGGCTTTATATGCAGTGTAACAGAAGTTATGTTTCCCATAACAATGAGGTAGCTTTAGAGAGATGTTGCCATAAGAGAGTAAAAGTATGTGCAGACCTTTAATTGGCTGAGCATATGCCACAGGAGAACATTAATCAAAGAAAGAAGAAGTAGGTAACACTCCCCACAGGCATATCTGGTTTCATCCCAAAAGACACATGTCCCTCCAATGGAGTTGCTCTGTGGTCACTTCATACTTCTCCAGTGTGCAGAGAAACTCCATGGACTGTCTTATACTGCAGTATAAATACTTAAACTTTGTATTCAAACATAGTTGATATTTATTATAAATGTAATGGGATATGTTTAGACAAAGAATTATTCCTATTTAATGTACTAAAAACTAGCACTTATGATAGCCTTATTACTTCTAAGACCAGAGATAGATTGGAAGTTATCTATTTTTCGTATCTTTTTTTTTTTTTTTACTTTACCTCACTTTTTCCTTTCCTTTATATTTTGTATTTCAAATTTTCTTTTTCATTTCTAACTTTTAAAAATGTATCTTTAAAATCTTAATAAAATATTACAACATAGTTGATATTTAAATAAAGGTGAAGTAAAGTTGGTCTGTCTTGTCAGATAAGATGAGGTTAGGCTAGCTGATGCTATTCCTGCCTTTTCATCTGTCTGCTGCCCTCATCTACAGACATCACAATGAAGCCTGTCTTTTGGATAAGAAGAAGAATGCGTGGGAAGACTATGCAATACACTTCTGGGATGCCCTTTTGTTTTTTCTGAACATATTTCTTTTTTTGTTGTTGTTGCTGACTTAATTCCGGTATCAGAACTAGGAATAGAGATGTGCACAGAATAACAGACTGCCAGGAAATAATTAACTGGCAGATCTGTGAATATTGTTGGTAGATCTGTGTCCTACGTAACAATTGTAGCATGCGTTTCTTACCCAACAGCATGCTACCTCCTTTTCTCTCTTCCTGTTGCTTTCCCCACAGTTTCTTCATCTGTGTCCTTTGCTGTATTAGCAGTTTCCAGTCTTTGGCAAGTTTTACTTCCCTCCTTAAGGAATGCAAGCTCTCCTTAAGAAGACAGTCAAAACTTCTAAACCTTGGAGGGCTACAATAAGTAGTTCACAGAGGTATTACTGTAGTAGGAAAAGTGGGAGAGAGTCAGTAAGATAATTGGTGGTAGTAGAGAAAGGAGAAAGTCTCCAGAAAGGAGACTAACTGAATAAACAAAGATGATTTGAACTGCACAAGGAAGGATTTGATTACAGTAAGATCAATCTGATAACCTGGAACTGTATATAAGGGAGCCAAACCAAAGAATATTTGGAAAAACCTAGAAGTATGTAACTTTAATCTTAATTACATTTTCTTGATAAAACCTGCTTTTGAAGCACCGTTGTAGAAATGCTGAGCTAGAGCCATTCTTCAACCCTCATATACAGTAATCAAGTTTAATTCAAATACAGGATTTTTGGCTACTGAGCGAAGGCAATATTGGAATATACTGCACACTTAATTGTAGAAATATGCTTAGCTCTTGAAGAGATTATGATATTATCTTTCCTTATTCAGGAAGTCCCTTTTGAGACTTTAAGATAGACTTTGCATCTAATGGCCTGGCAGAGAGTAAAAAGAAACTGATATTTAGATCTGAGGACCAAATCCCATGCATCGATGAAGATCACTAGATGGACTTGGTCTAATCTTGATTTTGCTTTCTAATCCATACTTTACATGATTTTTTGGGGAATAAATTAAATCATCTCCTCTAACTCCTTAAGGTGTTACCTACATTTTTAAAAAATAATTAAAAGTATCTAAAAAATAATCAAGGTAGATTGGGGCAGAGTTTGATGGGCATTAAAGCAATGTCCACCCCAATTTTTAGTTTCTATCGTCTCAAGCTTCATGCCTTTCCTTCCAAATTTCTGGATCATTCCATAGAGGCATTTATTTGTATTGTTATTTTTTTCTTATTCAGGTGGAAGAAAAAAGTGGTGGGAGAAAGGATTTGTCACAAATCTCTCAGGACTAAAGTACAGAGGCCAGGCTGTAGTGTTAATATTTCCTGAGTGAGTAAGTAGGGAAGAGAACTCTCCCAGGCAATTTATGGATCAAAGGTCATACAGTCAACTTAAGTGTACTGTTAAGTCATGGGTACAAGTGACTTATGCATTTTTGCAAACTTGTTGCAACAGGATAATTTATACTTGTATCCATGTCTTCAGGATAAAACTATACAAAGGAGAATTTGCTAGTTCTTGAAACAGGAAAGTACTTAACTCTCAACACATAAAAGATGATTATATATGAATGGAATGTGCAACAAAATGTAACAGTTTGGAGTTTTGCCTCTATTCAATTTGTCTTATATCCAGTTTTTCTTAATTAAAAATAATTAGACTTATAAAGCCGCCAAACCAGGAGTTCAAAGCAGCATACGGAGTTAAAACATTAAAAATACAAATATAATGAATATAAAATACACAGGTAAATTGTATTAAGGGAAAAGTACAGATAAATTCCAATCTTTCAATCAGGATCCTTCCTTCTCGTCTCCCAGCACTGCCAGAGCATGTTAAGATGGCTTTGGGTTCTCCATTCCTGTTCATTAAGATTTTGTTTGTTAATGTTTTTGTTTAATTTTGTTTCATAATGTCAAAATACGTCTTGTGATTTTACAGTGCTTAAAATCACCTTTAATTTTTTGATGTCTCTTTGAGAACTTAGATAGAACTTCATCCACTTCATATGCATCAGGAATATATTCAGCAACTACGATGATAATGTTTCTTATACATAGAACTTTATCAAGCTACTATTATGTAATGTGAAAGAACTTGATGTGAAAAGCAACTGTGTTGCTTTATGTGGGATCTTTCTTATGAATAAAAGGGCCAGTGGATTGACACTTCCTTTAGTTTCTTGATAGGCTTTTATGAACTTGCTGTTTGTTTGCCTTATCTAGTGCTATGCTGAAATGATGGCTAAGGAACATGTGATTACATTCCTTCATTCTGCAGGAGTCACAAAGCATGAGCTCTCTGATTTTCCAAATAAAACAATAAAAAATTTTTCACGTGGTCATGAAATATTATGTGGTTTTGATGATATGAGGCCTTGCATGATTGCAGCAAACATTCAAGAGCATTGTACCATAATCTCTCAAGTAATATGCACTTTTCCAACTTCCAGCACTTCAGGGAACTGATCATAAGAATTTTAAATTTAGAAAGGACGAACATATAGGGAATGTAAGTGGAAAAAATAGATAGCAACCCCTTCACCACCTTTCAACAACACAGTATGCTCAAAAATATTACCAAAAGACATTAGGAGGGGGCAAAAGTAGAGCATAAGGCAGAAAAAGAGAAGGCTCTTTCCAAATGGGCAAAAAGCAACAATAGCAAACACACACACATATGCCTTTTAGAACGTTAGAAGATGGGTTTCAGCATAGTTTTAATTTTATGGTGTTTTTTTTTTAAAATCCAATTCCCCGTTCTCCACATTAATTCCTTGTCCTTCTGTTTTGAACATTCTCATTGGAATGAATGAAGTGATATGTCAGTTGGCACTAAACTATGTGCAACTCTGGCGGTTATCATATGCTTATCTAGACCATGGGCATATTTGCCCATGTATAGCTCTCTATCAAAAAAACAAAACACCTCATTAAAACTCCCAGAGCGTTTAACTAGAATAGGAATGAAAATATTTCCTTTTATGCATTTGTACCCAAACCACAAAATATCTAAATATAAAATTTTCATAACTATACACATAACTGCAAACATACAGGATTTCTGCAATTTTGACAGAAAGCATTGGTCTTTAACACAAAGCATTTAGGAACATGGGGCCTCCTACCCTGTCTGAATGCAATCTTAAATAAGGTGACTTTATTTTCAACTTACTGAGTAAATCCAGCTCAGTTTATAGTCATATATATGTAGGAGCTAATGATGTAGGGTTGGGATATTGTCCATTTAGAAGGTTTGGCCATGGATTTCAGCACTTAGGCTCTTTCATTTATACATCCATTAAGAGCTCTTGCTCACTGATTTCTATTAACAGGCAGATCATTGGAGTATGATTTAGAGGAAATAGACTTTGATGTGGGAAATGTATTTTTCCTTATATTTAGATATACAAGGATATTGTAAGAACATTTTTGGAACGTTATTGATAAACTTTATGTATAAATCATTTAATACATGTCAATGACTCATGCTGAAGATAAAGCAAAAACCCCTTTTATTCAGATATGATAAATGGTGCATACAAATATCAGTTTTTAGGGTTGTATGCAATATAAAGTGAAAATAGAAGCACTATATAAAACCTTGGACCAAAGTGCCTAAATGATTTTGTCTGTTTAAAGATGCAGCACAAATCTCTTTGAGGATAATATCTTATTATTTAGATGATGCTGCCAAGTTGGAAAGACCCCTGCAAATTCATATAGCTTTGACTATGTGAATACATATTACAGCATTTTTGTCTAATCTTTCTATTGCTTTGCTTTGTTCCAACAGGGAAATATGGGATGTATAAAATCCAAACAAAAAGAGAGTCTGCATGGAGATGGGCTAGATGTGAAGAACAAATCAGTACGTAAAACTGAACGAACTATTTATGTGAGGGATCCAACGTCCAATAAACAGCAAAGGCCAGTAAGTAGATAGTTTCAGGGAAGAATTCCAACAGTGAGATTGCAGCTTGACTGGCATATCTTTTTTTATTTTATTTTATTTTATTTTATTTTATTTTATTTATTTTTCAAATTTGTCACTGCCCATCTCACTGTGGAGTGACTCCGATCTTAAATGTTTATTTTTAAAAAACACATAACCAGCAATTAAAATTACCCTTTTCTTGGTCTGCAGTTTAACTTTGTGGCAGTGGGTTCTTAAGCCCACAAAGAATGTATAAGGAACCCAGAACCTTGTGCCTTTGAGGCCTCAGTTCCAGCTAAGAGCAGTTTGAATATATAGCACTACATTTATAAATCACTAAGCAGTGTCAGTTTCACTGTGGAATCTTGGAGATACGTTAGTTCATTTTTTAACAAGTGCCATTTCTATATATATATATCTTTTTAAAATGCTACCACCATGAAGGAAATTGCTTTAGGATTTATTTTCTTTGTTATATATGACATTTTAAAAGAAAATAGCAAAACAGAACAAATAAATTTTAAGGGTATTGTTATTTTCTGGAAAAAAAATTGCTTTATGAAAATTAGGAACTGCATTATCCCTATAAGAGATTTTCTACATTATTTTAACAGAAATAGGAACATGTTGCATGCGCTAATCCCAACCCTAACCCTAAGCATCATGTAAGCTAAGAAGTAAGTAATTGTTCAAATAAAGTGTGTGTGTGTGTAGAGAAAAGGGGAGAGAGAAGGTATATTCTGTATTTTATACTCATCAAGTCTTCATATTTCAGCTATAGGCTGAATATAGGCTACAGGTAGTCCTCATTTAGCAACTGGCTTATTTAGCAACCATTCACAATTACAATGGTGATGAAGAAGTAACTTTGCAACCAATCCTCACGTTTATGACTTTTGCAGGTCTGTAAAGCAAGGGAAATCTGAAGATCATAAGCACAGCCATGGTTTCAATTAGCGACTACTTCGCTTAACAACAAGTTGCCAGTCCCAATTGTGGTCACTAAACGAGGGCTACCTCTACTTATGTATATCATACATCCTATCATCCAGGAATCTCAATTCTTTTTTGATTATATATTTTGTACTACTTAAAAAAACTAAGCAGACAGAGAGTATTTAAGGAAGCTTCCTTGGGAGCAGGGCAGGGGGAAGAGAAAAAGAGCAAGATTTTAGCAAATATTATAGCTCCCCATAATAATAATTCCTAAAATCTTGCTCTTTTTCTCCTCCCCTGTCCCTATTATATTTATTATGTTTATTTTTATATAATATTTTTATATAATATGATATTATATCATATCTCCCCATGAGAGCCAGTTTGGTGTGGTGGTTAAGGCATCAGACTAGAAACCGGGAGACGGGGAGTTCTAGCCCCGCCTAGGCACAAAGCCAGCTGGGTGTCTTTGGGCCAGTCACTTTCAGCCCTAGGAAGGAGGCAGTGGCAAACCACTTCTGAAAAACCTTGCCAAGAAAACTGCAGGGACTTCTCCAGGCAGTCTCTGAGAATCAGACAAGATTGAACGGATTAAAAAAAAAACTCCTCATACAGTTGGATGCAGATGTTTAGGCATCCCTAATCCAACTGTGTGTATCCATTAATATCTGACCTAACCTTTACATTGTAGAAAGATAAATTCAACATCATTCTACAAAACTGAATATATGCTTAGTGTTTGTGTACTGTTTGGGTGCCGTTATTGACACATTCAGAATGTGAATATGACAGGTTCAGAAGTTTGGATACCCTTTTAGTCAGACCCGTTTGACAGAAATAACAGCTTCTAACATTTCCTGTGACTAGCTAAGAATCTTTTTATTCTTGTCTTTGAATTTTTTTCTTACTATTTCTTGAAGAACCAATCTAGCATAGAAGTATTCTTAGGTCTCCTTGCATGCATTGGATATTTGAAATCTCCCTACCCTTTTCAATAATACTCAAGTCTGGAGACAGTGAGGGCCGTTCCAAAATCTTTCTTTAAGTGCATAATCAATGTGGAGGTATGTTTCAGATTGTTAACTTGTTGAAATATCTTTCCAGCTTCAGCTTTCTCATTGACTGTAGGACATTAGTTTCTAGAATTTATTAATATTTAGTTAGTTAAGTATGTTTTTCTTCCACCAGCACAGTGTTTTTGTGCTACTGCCTGCCACACACCCCAACGTATAATAAAAACCCCTCTATAGTTTATGATCGACAAGGTGTTATTTTCTTTAAATGACTTGTCCTTTTTTTTTTTGCAAATATAAATTGTGTGGTTGTGGCCATCAGTTCAAAATACTTTGTTCTTTTTATTATTACTATTAACTTTTATTGATGTTTTCACAGAATAAAAACAGTACAAATTTTGAATTGAAGAGAAAAAGAATAGAGAAAAGCAATAAGGAAGTGAAAAAGAAATAAATAAAAAGAAATAGAAAAGAAAGAAAAAGAAAAAAAGAGAAAGTAATAAAGAAGTGGCTTCCGATCTTCTTAACAGCAGTTATAAGCATATTTATATTTTACCTTCTCTAACTTTGCATCATAATTTCCTTCTTTCCATAATCTACCCTTTCTAATCATCAAATCCATAAATCATCAGTTCATTTTTTCTTTTTTCAGCAAAAAGTCTATAAGAGCTTTCCAGTCACTAATAAATGTAGTTGTTGATTTTCCTCTAAGCAAACAAATTAATTTTACCATCTCTGCTAGTTCTGTCATCTTCTCCAACCATTTTTGTGCATATAATAGTCTTGCAGCAATGACCATATGTAAAAATAATTTTCCATGGCTCAGTGCACTTTGTTCTAAAATGTTTGAGGCTTATCAGAGCTCTGCCTGCTTTAGATTATAATTTAAGGGATGAGATTTCCTTCTTACAACTCTCAAATATGGCTGTTCTATAAGCTAGACTGTACTGTGGACTTCTTAACAGCTATTCCAGTGTCAGGTAAAATTTTCAGAAAGTTATTTGAAATTATTTTTTTTTTCCAGATCTGGCCAATTTCTTGACAGTTTTAACAAAGATTTTTTCTTGTTATTCCAGTTCCTGCATTGGAACAACAGGTGCATTAATTTACATTTCTTAACAAGGTTTCTCACAATAAAAATTGCTAGCTCTAAGCATTCAGAGGCTTCTTTTATAGCCTTCTGCTTTGTAAGAATAAATCATTTTCAGTTTCGAATATTCAGTTTAGAAGAGTCTATGGTTGTTGAAAGTAGATCAAACAAGAATTACAAGATTGGATTAATCAGAGTATTTGTTCACCTGTTTAATTGTCTTCGCATGGCTAGTTATAGGTGTAATGTGTCAGTCACCATTTTTGGTCTTACAGATAGTCTTTGCCTAACAACCACAATTGGTACTGGCAACTCCATTGCTATCGACACAGTCGTTAAGCAAGACCTCACATGACCGTGACTTAAGGAGACCGTAGTATTAAGTATTAAGCTTAAGATAGAAACCTTTATTATATAACAAATAATTCAGTGCACGTTACAGCTGTTTATCAATGCTACATTCAGCTGTAGATGTACAATTTAAGCAACCTTATCCTTAATTAATCCATTAATATTTTAGAAATCATAGTAAATATTAGTATAAACTTATAAACTTATAATATTAATATTAATACAAATCTTTAAAGGTTTATCTAAATCATCATAGTGTTAATAATCTCTAGTCAATACTGTATAAATACCACTGTACCCTAATAATGTAATGTATTATTTGCATCTTATAATAATACAATAGCAATTTAAAAAAAAAAAACCAAATGTAAATGTAATTGTGGAATATATGATTTAGGTGTATGAAATCATTCATGGCATGGAGTGGGCAGGAGAAGTTTTCCTCCCTCTCTCAAAACACTGTGATCAAGGTACATTCAATGAAGGTGATTGAAAGAAGATTTACAGCAGACAAAAGGAAGTATTTCTTCACACAGTGCAAATTAACCTGTGAAATAAATTCATTACCACAAGATATGCTGGTCAAAACCTGAATGGCTATAAAAGAGGATTGGATAAATTCACAGAGGACAGATCCATCTTAAAGACTCCATGTTACCTCCTGGTTGGGAGTAGAGTGCCTCCCAATATTGGCTGAAGAGAAAAAATGGTGGAAGAAGGATATGCCTCCATATCCTGCTTGCAGGCTCTGTAGAGGTATTGGCCACTGTGGGAAACAAACTGCTAAACTGAAATGGGCCATGGCCTAATCCAGCAAAGCTGTTTTTATGTTCTTCCTTTGCAGTGGATTGTACGCACAGAGTGTCCATGTAAGGAGCTGTGTAGGTTTTTTATCATATGTACTCCCATACACATGGAAAAATGTTATCTTATATCATCTCCAGTGTACAACATCCTTTTAAAACTATGGACACTTTTTAAATCCTGCAGAGATACTGCAGTTGTTCTCATGAAACATATGCCATGGGGGGGGGGGGGCCCCCTTTTTAAGGGGGATGGCTTTATAAAACAACTTTTTTAGTTAAAAAAAAAAACTGCTGCAGATAAGGAAGATAACTTGCAACAGAAACTTCAGTGTAAGAAAGGTTTGAGACCAAAAACTTAGTATCATTGTTTTGGATCCACAGTTTTGGATCTGAGTACCTGATGATGCACCTGGCATTTTTGTCCCTAACAGGATAACTGTTTTTCAGTTATCATATGGTGAAAAAACCAGCTTGGGTCACACACTGTGCTAAACCCTGCCATGCATGCTTTTACTTCTTCAAGATTGGTTTTAATGAAAAAGAAAAAGTAGTAGGCCACCAAGCACTGACCTTAAATAAAATCTGCATTTCAGTGAATGATGCCTCTAGGCCCAGAGCATTATTAGAAAATAAAATGGCACTTTATTGCATTGTTTAGAACTCGGCCTACCTGCCCAGGGGAAAAAAATTGGCAAAGATAAGCTGAGAGGTTAGACATTAGGGATCTGCAGCAATCTGGATTTGAAAGGGAAAAGAGATTTTGGAATGCATGGAGTTGCTCGTTTCGCACCTGCTAGCAATCCTTAAAGAAGCTGGACTTTTCCTGATCTTGCTTCCAATCCCAGGAAAAGATGCATTTGATTTAAAGAGGTGCCAGCAGGTGTGATATGTGAGTCCACACTTTCTCTAAATCATCTTTTCCTTCTAATCCCAATTGTTTCACAGCCTTATTGAAAAGCGTCTCGGGTATAGTCTAGAGGTGGAGGAAAGCAGCTTGCCAGCTGATAAATGGGACTTCTGTGATCAGCCATGCCCGTTACAGCAGCCATTTGGTAAAAGTGCTCAAAATCTGCCTTCATAACTCCAAAAATGCCCACCAACCAGAAAACCACGGCATTAAGCTATATTTAGGTTTTAGATTAGTACTGTATATAAACTCAGTCCTTCCAGATTATTCAACAAAACATGTTTTAGTGTAAATTCAGCCTCGGTAACTCTGGACTGATTTCTTTTTACAAGTTGTGTTCCACAGCTGATGCATCAGCTGCTCATGTGTACTTCCTTTAACATAATATGGAGAAGCATTGCTGATGACTAGTATTTCAGTTACTAACAGCAGGGTTCCAGGATTGGCTGGAGTTCATCATTACCTCCTTTAGAAAAAGCAGTGCTCTATGGAACATCAAGGATATGCTCCATTTAATTTTCTTACAATATTCTGGACTGACGCTACCTCAGGAGCATTACTGAAAACATGAGACTCTTCTACACTGGATAAACACAGTTGGAACTCAGTGATCTAGAAGGGGGGCATTGTGGATTCTTTGCCAAGAGCCCCTTAATGTTTAAATTTGGCCCTTCTTACTGGATGATTGATACATCATTTGAAGATTAATCAACAATTGTCTAGTGATATATTCACAAGCTGTGTTCTAAAATGGAAAAGCATTTGTTTTTACTAAAAAGTAGGTCAATTTTATTTTCAGGGAACCCACAAAAAAATACTGATATTCCAGTCAAAATAGTCAATTTTTGTCATAAATGTTCTTTGGTAAAGAATAGCCTAGTATTGCAGAATTGCCCAATGACTTTAAATAATTTAAAAAGGAACACATGCTGACTTTGAATAAATCCCATCTCAGTAAGCCTAGTGGAACATATTAGGTTGTACAGTATATTAGTCCTTGTTAACATGGAATTCCTTTGTTTTTTTAATAGGTGTATTAAACACTTTTTAGTTGTTGCTCTATAAACATACAGCTGCCCAGTTGGTTCTTGCAATTTTTTTTTCATGAGTATTTTTATAAACCTATATAGCTTTGAAGCTTAGAGAAGGTCATTGGTAGTTCGGGCAAAAGGGGAACCATTTAGTTCCCACAGTGGCTGTATTCTGATACAGATTTTCTGATAATTTTGTAGGTGCAGACATTTCAAATCCCAGTGCAGATGCTTAAACCGCAGCCCAAAATAAAATCATAAATTTAGGAAAAGTCTCTATAGGATCTGTATTTTAAATTACAATAAGTCTGGTGATATCAAATAACTTGTTATTTTATTTTAGGGAAATGAAGATATTCTTTTACCAGGTCAAAGGTTCTGTAATGAAGGTATGTTTATAGCAAGTCCCTGATTACTACAATAAATTGCCATTGTTTGAATATAATAAATGATTAAGAATATACTTATTGCATTTCTGAATTAGAGGAAGAGAAAGAACATTGGGACATTGTAATAGCCTTATACCCTTACGATGGCATTCATGAAGATGACTTGTCCTTCAAAAAAGGAGAAAAAATGAGAATTCTGGAGGAGTAAGTATAGAACTCTTGAGTGTGTGCTGCTTTTATTTACTTCTAGGTAATCATGAGACAGATTGGCCATTTTAATTCCAGTAGGCCAGAGCTGGTTATTCTTATTAAAATCATGAGTGTGCCAGCTTAAAACTGGGAAAGTCTATGTTCGTTGGCCATGAAGTTCACAAGGTATGCACTGTCACTCAGGTTAGCCTGTCCTGACCAGCTGGCCAATTGGAAGGGTCTAATAAAAGGACTGATGGAACACATACAGCTTCTGTATACTTTCAAATCCAATCTCTAGGATCTCTCATTGAAGAATTGGTTGATGGGAAAGATCAGAGGCAGAAATCCTGCAATATCACCTCTAATCTAAGTGTGTAATGCTGGCTCAGATAGTATCTTTTTTAAAAGGCAGCTTATGTTCCCATTCTTTCCCATTCAAAATGTTTGTAAATGTGTTGTACTAACACATTTACATACATATACCTATATAGCCATATACATCCACGTAACATTTGTTTCCATTTAAAAATTCACTGCTTCTCCTCTGCCATAAAGTATTGCTTTAATCAAAATATTAATCTTTAGACTATTGGATTTGTTTTGCTAACGGAAATACTGTTACTTTCCTTGGAAATGCAAATACAGAAGTTAATGTGGTTATCAGTATGTTGACTTGTATATTTCCTCAAATATTCAGTCATCTAAAACTGAAGTTTTGGAAGTGAATGCAGGACCTAATATGCATGAGGTCTCAAACCAGTTTTGATTCCAAATATAGTTAACAGGTAATATTTTGGGCATACTTCAGTAGCATGCTAAACCGAGCTTAATAGCTGCCTATGGAAGTGCTTGGATCTACTAGCTTAGCTTCCTAACCAGCTGTCTGAAAAACAGCTTATTATCAGTTAGTGAAGATCCTGGTGCACCTTACAAACAGAAAATGTGGTTACTTCTGTCAAATATACTTGGTGGTTTTGCTTATGGCTGTATTATACAGTTAGACAAAGCAAGTTGTATATTCTGCATTTGGATGATAAGCCTTAAATAGGGCAACTGTTTCACTGGATGTGATTCATGCCGAACCATTAATCCTGGATTAGTATGATGTCTGAACATAGTTATCGTTTCCCACAATTGAAATGTAAGCTTCTTTGAATGTCGCTAAGGTTGATCAGTAAAGTCTTCTTTACCAAAATAATGGTGGTTTTTTTATTCTTTTTTTTTTTTTAGACATGGAGAATGGTGGAGGGCTAAATCCCTTTTGACTAAGAAAGAAGGATTTATTCCAAGCAACTATGTTGCAAAAGTCAACACCTTAGAAACAGAAGAGTAGGTTTCTTCTCTTTTAAAATATTTGATTTCCATTGCTATTTTTTTCTCTGTTTCAATTGGAAAAGAATAAAAATATGTAACTTTTTAAAATAATATTTTTCAGATGGTTCTTTAAAGATATAACCAGAAAAGATGCAGAAAGGCAACTTCTAGCACCAGGAAATGCTCCTGGAGCATTCCTTATCAGAGAGAGTGAAACATTAAAAGGTAGGTTTTCTGGATTTCATTAGAGCTGAAAATAAATTCAATTTTCTGTCTTAGAACTCTTAAACTTCTATAACACAAACTTCTGTATGATAAAATTTACTTGCAACATCATGGGTATTCCATGAAAAGAAAAGCTCCTTCCATTCATGGAACCAGAATCTAGCATAGACTTTTCCACTCTTGCTAGGTTTCTAATGATAATCAATTGATAATGAAACCAGGAATAAGACTTGAGGGTATCTGTAGTTATAATATACATTGCTGTTCAAATTGATCCTTCCTTCCTTTGATTTATATGGCTGCCTAACTCATAAAAGAGCTTATAGTTGGATAATAGCATAAAAACAAAGGAATAAAAACAAAACACATCAAACACCAGAACAGAATAACAGAATAATCAATGCCAACAATTATGTAGTCCATTTAAAAAAAAAAAAACTTTTATTCTGGAAGATTCATCTTATGCTCTGGCCTAATGCCCAAGGGAAGAGCCAGGTTTTCAGGGCCTTAAAGAAGGCCAGCAGGGTTATGACTATCTGAATCTTAAGGGGAATGTTGTTCCATAGGGCAGGGACTGTGACAGAGAAGGCATGGCACCTGGATTCTGCCAGGTAACATTGCTTCATAGAAGGGACCTGAAGCCTACCTGCCAGATATCAAGGGACAAGCAGAAATACAGGTGTCCCACAAATAACCTGGCCCTGTAGCATGAAGGCCTTTATAGGTATTAAACAGCAACTTGAATTTTACCCAGAAACATTTAAGAGACCAGTGATGTTACAATGCAGTAATGTTACAATGGCACACCAAGTTGCGCCCATAATTACTCATACTATCATATTCTAGACCAATTGCAGCTTCCAGGTGGAAGGCAGCTTCATGAAGAGCATGTTGCAG